ACCGTGAACACTATAAATTGATTACAGACGCATTTTTTTCTGGATGGAATTCGATTAAAATGCAATGCCCAGTATGCCGTTTATCAGTTGCCATCGAAAACGCTGCTATTTTGAGAGTTTACGTAACTTGCGACCCTTTCAAAACCACAAAGGACTACGACAAATATTTCTATTTTAAATTTAATTTTAAACTTAAAAAAAAATCAGCGCAAATTAAGTTGCATACCTCATAATTACCCGATTATTACATTTAACTGAGATGCTTACCAAAGCATCACAGATTTGATCGTTAAGTGTCTGATTCGATTATACCAGTGAGCAGTGCAACAAAAAAGAGACCTACAAATAAGGAAAAGTTTTGCAGATATCTACTTACTTAATTCATAAATCCGTAAAGCTAATTCACTGCATTCAGGCGCGTGTCTTCATCATAATATTCAATCAGTTTAACTGAAACATTCTAGGTTAGCCTTTAGGTGTGATGAAACACAGATGTAAAAATCTATAGTCTCTTGGTGATAATGCAAACTTCACCAGAGTGAATGGTAAAAACACCACGCCACTAGGCAAGCAAAGCTTTTGAGTACAAAAGTGTCCCTGAGACAACGCCAAAGACAATGTGCTCAAGTCAGTAGTCGAATTTACAACTGATAAACTCGGCCAAGTAATAACGTTTGCTAGCCATTCGATTGTCAATAATACTAGTTGACGCTTACGTGGAAATCGAACATCATGACGAGCGGATGGGTCAGGATCTACCGTGGATACCACCGTGCATATTCATTTACAAAACGTCAGCCGGTGTGCGATTTCACATGGAATTCTGCATCGAAATATCAACTGTCTTATCAAATGTCATCCAAATGCCGATCAATCGTCTCGGCAACAGACGAACTATTCATTTCCTACACGCAAATCCAAATCGCTTGTTATCTACCTCGGATTTAGACTTTGGTTCTAGTGGAAGTGCGAACAATTGCTAATTTCAAATGATTCAAGTCTTTAATCGGATTTATCCTTATTTGTCTCTTTGGGGTACCTTTGTCCATCTTGCCCATAAACTATCAACGGGACAGATGCAGTCATGTTTTGTCAATGTTTCTGCATATTCCTTCACAATTATCGCCTTAATCAAGGCCATAGTCGTACAGGTACTATGCACGTGCTTGTGTTACGGGCCCATTGGTTGAAACAGTAAAAGCCCTCTGCAGGAGGTCCCGTTTTTGTTCTAGTGCTGAAACGGTGGTGTAACATGGCAGATATGAGGTTTGTGTGCATATGCACTCTGAACACACACTTTTCGCCTGGCAGAAGTAAGAAATTCTTTTGTACAATGTATCTTCTCAATTCAAACTCCAATTTTACTGAATGTATCAGCAACTAAACCTACCTATATCGTAAAGGAGTACATTTTAGTGTGTCATTAGTTCGAATACAGTTTCATTGACCTAAATTCATCAGCAAAGAGATGTGGATCGGATCTCCTCACATTGCCTAAATCTTGAGAGCTGAGACGAGGTTTTTACTGCAGTGGTTAATTAGGACCTGCTGTTTTTGAAGGCAATTATTGTTTCGATTTGAACGCCTTCGTTTCTATTAGGAAGTATTTGAGCCCATTTGATATCTGGGACAAATATTACATGTTCTACTTGTAGTATTATTTTCTTACGCTTAAGAGACTTCATGTTGACATTAAAATAGTCCGGCTGAAAGTTGCATACTTCGTCGTGAGAAAAACCTTCGGAGTTGTTAAGATAAATATTAATACTGTTTAAAACTATTTACTACCTAAGTAGTGTAACTGTATTTTCACCCTCGTAGGTAAGATTAGTTTAATTACTTGTTAATCTCAAAACGAATGTCGTTTTACAAGATTACTCTTTTTAAAATCGCAAAAAATCCCTAACTTTTTCAAATTATGAGCAAATACTTTTTCATTTGTCGGCAATGCTCAGGGTACACTTAAAGTGTTCTTAATATTAAGCTAAATTTTCTATCATTTATGAAAAATTGAGAATGTTTCTTTTTATCATGCCAACCTCACTAACATTAATACAAAGTCCTGAAGCTGTCATATTAAGTCGAAAATTGCCAACTTTTGCATCTACCGTAAAGTACGACATGTAGTACTCCACCTACTATTTTGGTTAGCCTTCGTTCAACGTCGGTTTTCGTCTAGCTTAGATAGACGAGAGTACATAATCGAAACCGACAGCACAAATTACACTAGGTATAGTTGAATGCCTAAAAGTGCCATCCTTCTGAGGAGCATATTGTTTATCTTTTGGTGCCAATTTTGCCTCTTTCTGGTATATTTGCATTATTGGAAAATAAAATCAAACCATTACTTATTGAAGTGCCAGGGACTTTTACCAAGCTATTTTATGGTTCTTGACTTTCAGGCTACAAATTGAAAGTATGGCATTCATTCCGACTGAATTTGAAAAAGAAAAAAGCCCTTAGTCTGGTCTGCATATTTTATATTTTTCAACAAATCCAAATCGCCAAATAAAGAGACTATTCTGCTCCAAAATCTTACTTATTTTAAAAACAGTTTAAATTCAAGTGCAACTTTCTCTGTTTTGACAAATGTAGTAACGGAATCTCAGATCTCATGAAAATTTCATTCAATAAAGTAAATGCCTTAATCTGCTCATGGTGACGGAACTCAAAGGCATGTTATTTGCGTCAGCGTAGTAGCAAAACTCTATCAATTTTGCCATGGCAACACAAGAACCTTTGTTTATGTTGTTTTAATCATTTGAGGGCATTTCCTCTAGACTGGCCTCAAGTTTTTATCTTGTCAAATTACAGGCAGGCAACAAGGGCATGTAACCAGATGCATTTTATTTGATTGGCCGGATTCTAAACGATGCCTGGTTGGCCAGACTTTTAACCATTGAAGCAATTAGAACCGTCTCTACGAGAAGTATTCTTCAGATGTAGAGCTCGGATAAGGTAAGTAGTCTCTTAAACTGTCAAATTTACATCAACAACGAAGTGTCTCTTTGTTATGTACTTCTGCATTTCTAAGGTCTGATGTTTGCTGCGTTTAGATTTTTAAGCTTAATTAAATTGTGCCCAGGGATTGGCAGATCATTCGTAAATTTGTTTAAAAAACTAGTTACAGCATGTTTGTTAAAATATCACTGTACCAAGATCCGTCAGTGAAGTGATAACGTTTCTTTCGCATGGAAAAACAACCTAATTCCTGCTAACTCAATGATTTTTAAAGGGCCTTTGAATTGCTGGCAATCATAGAAAATGTTTTTCTATTTTTTTAATTGAAGTAGCTTCACTATTTTCTAACTAAAAAGTTAAAGTTTGCAATTTGTGAACAATCGCATAATTTTGAGATAACCATAAACAATTCAGATGAAAACGATGAAATTACCAATGCCTGAAATTATTTGCAAAGGAAGAAAACAGTTTTGGGCTAGCATTTTGTGAAATTTAACTGAAGTTGATAGTTTATAAACTGAATGTTGCATTTGTGCGTTTATTAATACCATAACTGATGGTCAACATTTTGTCCTTCTAACAGCTAAAAGTATAGGAACCACTGCCTGTTGGTAATTCACCACTTCAACCCAGGCGACGTCGGCAACCGAAAACTTGCTACTACTTAAAAGTAGAAATCTACGACTGAGAGAGAAACAAAGGTTTTTTTACAGTGATCACTATCTTGGTTCCTTTACTTCAAAATCCGCAATTAATTAAAGACCTTAAATTAAAATTCGTGTAGGTGGTATAATACAGTTTTATTATTCTAATCGATTATTGTAAAAATTGTGTTAGCATATTTATATTGGCTCATTACAGATGTTAATTAAGGTATTGTCTTTAAAATATCTAATCAAGGGATAATCATTTCGTAGTGCGTTTCAATGCTAAAATGAGTGTTTATATCGCTTAATTTAAATATGTTTGGTTTAAAAAACTTTGATCACATCTTTCAACGTTGTGGTAGCATTTTGTCATAATTCCATGTCTCTGTTGCCACTTAAGTGGAAATTGCTTAGGGCCAAGACAACACTATTGTGTTTAGGAGAGCTTGTTTCCACAAAAATGGTATAAACTTTAAGTTCGAATTCAGGTTTTAAAAATAGGGAAGTTGGGTTGAATAATAATTGCCTTTACACAACACACCACAAACACCTCTTTAGCCATTTTAAAAGTGGAGTTATCCCACTAAGATCGTCCCAAGAACAAAAATTTCAGCCTATGGCCAATGTTCCCCGAAACATGGCTTATACTCTGACGAGAATAAGTCACAAATGAACAGTTTTAATTATTTTTAGTAATGTTTAGTGGAGGATTAACTACTTAGCTAAAAGTGAGGGCCAATTTCGTTTTATCTAGTTATTTTAACCAAAGGTCCTGTGTGAGAAACTTAATATTTCCGGCATCATTTTAGTGAGATTCGCGAGATAACACATAAATTCATCCAGTAGGTGAAATTTAAAGTTTGTACGATGTAAAATACCACATGTCTTTCTTTACTTGTCTGTCGAACTATAAAGAATAGCATTAATTCATAGATCAGTAAGAATACACAAGCAGAAGACTGTATCTGGGTTGACAGTGTCAGGTACACTGTTTTAAGACTGGCATTGAGTCTCTTCCCTTACGGACATGAGCAGTTGGAACATTTATTGTTTGTGATGTCAAGTCCCTAATCAGGACTACTATTTTAAATCTAGAAATTCAGTGATGAAGAATTAATAACAATCGTTATTAAATATTTACCACGTTTTTTAAAAAAATATGTCTAATGGTGTACATACTCACGTAAAATCACTAGGGTTTCCTCAAAATTATAAATCCCTTATATTTGTCCAGATCTAATCGCATCAGATCTTAAAAATGACCTTAATTTGATTGCACTATAAAACAACGCCGGGATCAAATGTATTTTCACATAGGGAATTTTCGGGAGCATTGAAAAAGTTAACCCATTCATTTTAGGCGTCTTCAACTTTTGAAACTAGTTGTGCTTTATGACCCCAGCAGAACTACAATTTCCCGCTGACCATCATCTCATGGGTTATGACGATTCTTCTTCTGCAGTCAAAGAAGAAAAAAGGGGTATATCAAAACCCACCTGTCGAATCGTCTTCCTAGGCGCGGCCAAGGTTGGCAAGACCAGCATCATTCGCCAGTTTCTGAAAGGAAGCTTTGAATCTAAGTATACCCCCACAGTGGACGATGTCTATTTCTCCAAATTCATAGTCCACGGATGTTTAGTCAATGTTGAATTCATGGATACCTCAGGGAGCTACGATTTCCCGGCAATGGTCCGTCTCTGTGTAGCCAAAGCGGACGCTTTTGTCATTGTTTTCGCTCATGATAACATGGAGTCCTTAATCATCGCAGGCCGATACCTCGATCAGATTAAATTGGAGCGTGAAAACTATACCCCTTTCGTTTCGAATTCCCAGGCATGCGGATCCTCCGATCCAATTACATCCTCACCTCCACTTGTCGTTGTTTGTAACAAGTCTGATCTACCATCGTCCATGTCAAAAGTCAGCGAGGGAGCAGTAATGGAATGGTTGCTAAAACGTGGACTTAAACCATCACAGTTCGTATACACGAGTGCTAGAACGAATGAATGCATCACCGACATCTTCAAGTCTTTGTGGTCCCAAAATGAGGCAACTCATTCTATTACGTTTTCCTCCTGCGAGGAGGAAAGGAGAGGCAGTGTTGCAGTCACAGTTCAAGAGGGAGGATCTATAAGGCCATCTGACTCATCCCCAACGGAGAAGACAATGACTAGCCCAGCCTACGAGATGTTGAATAAGGGGACGTCATTTTTTCGGAGTAGTTTCAAGATGAAACGTCGCAACAGTTCTCGACAAAGGAAAACAAAGTCGGATTTCATTCGCCTCGACTGCACCATAAGTTAGAATACTGTTAAATCCAATGGAATCTAGAGTATAGTTTTAATGCAAAAAATTTTTAATCAACAATTTTCTGCTATGACTATAATTATTTCTTAGCATGTTGTTAAAATAAATACAGTCAAGAGAATTTAACAAAAATATAGTAAGGTGGACACAACCATTTATCCATATGTTAGGTATCATACGTCTTTCAGTGTGTTTTCGGATCCGTCACTAGGGCACTTTATTAAATACTAAAAATGTTACCAATAAGTTGGACAACGGTGGGGGAAGTCACTGCTAATAGTAATGTTTGGTTGAACCTGTTTACACCAGGTGAGATTTCCCATTCTAATCAGCACGGTTGCAGTTAGGAAGATCGGGAAACTGGCTGGTTAAATCTCTGTCCAGATATATGTTTGGACAGTCAGCAGAGTTTAATGTCAAAGAAATATAGCACGACCTAGTAATAGGTCGCCGACAATTTTGAGGCATATAACACCTCCAGCTATACAACGAATGATCCCTTATTCGGTAATCAGAGACTTGTGGGTGGGAGACGTAACCAAACAGGCCAGAATTTAAAAAAGGGCTCTATTGGGAAAGTGTAAGATCGATGGCTCAGATGATTTCAAAATCCAAAACAAATGGTTCTTAGTGGGATTCTGAAAGATGTGGTTGGGTCGCGTAAATTGCTTTTGAAAGCCAGATGCAGTCTCTAGGGAAAATTCACATTAGTTGAAGATTCGATCGAATATGAGGTAGGAAAATCACTGAATTTCTTTGGTATTAGAGGAGGATATTGAAATTCACAAGTTTGTTTTGATAAAATCTAGAAGCAGTCAGGTTGGAAAGGGCTTCCATATTTAGCGAACTTTGCGGTAAATTGAAATGTGCTCCTAGAAGTAATTAAGATAATATGCAGTTGTCTTGTCAGTCTCAATTCCCTCATTTCAATAAACATATTAGTTACTGGTTGATGAGAATTAGACATTAATAAATGTTACCTGTAAAAGTCACTGCTGTTTTGATTTTTTACTCTTAAATGCATTTTTCAAATCACAATTTAATATTTACTAATTTTTGAACTTTAAATGCCTTTGCATAACTGACTTCATTATATTTATAATTCTGCATCTACTTGAATGCAGGCTTTTATTGAGTTAGCTGCAAGCAAATAATAGGTAAAGATTTTGCAAACAAATGCTCACGACTTCTGTCCACACCGATAATTCTGTTTCCACTCACTGAATTGTCAATTTAAAAAATTTCAGTTCAATTTTTTTCATAATCACTGTTATTCACTTTTTAATTTGCATTAAAACGGTATCTCCGATTTTAAGAAAGAAGCTTGCTGATAAAGGCAATTTTGGTTGTAATTTGGACGTTGTCATTGACTAATCTGTGTAATGTGAACTCAACGCAATGCGAGAATGCCACGACGACGATGCATCCTGAAATGGGATTTTGAAAATGTGAACCAGCCGAAAAATGCAAAAATGTACTTCTAATTTACCAAAACAACTGCGTTCAACCATTTGCAATATCTGTCGCAGACTGTTGACCGAAAAGCACTAATAAGAGCTTGTTTGAAAAGGTTTACTCACTTCGCGTCAAGCTGGTGAATGATAGATTGTATCCATCTAACCATCTTTTATGTTTCCGGGTGTATCCGGTGCTGACTAATAGAATTAGAATGCGACTTTGGTCATTGCTACAAATATAATTTAAGGCCGCTCCAGCACCTCATCCATTCCATTATCGCAAGTTGGACGACAGTGAGAATCCCAGTCGTAGTATTAGATTTCTAATTACTTCATTGGTCATTGTCTACAATGATCTATTATGATTACCTTGAAATGCTGATAAGTTATCAAATTCGATATCAGAAATCATTTGTCATGCTTACTCAGGGATTTAAAGTGTTTTTTTTTTTAAAAAAAACAAGCGATGAGTGTTCTAACAAAAGGATCATCAACTTAAAATCTTCCACACAGTAATTAAACAATCTAAAAACATAAACGGCACTATTTAAGGAAATTTTACTTTTGTTGGGGATCTAGGATTCCCCAAGATAGCTCATCGCCGGTTTTCGTCGTTGCTTACACTGATCCCCTAACCACGCCATCAGTGGATGAGTCACCAACGGTATCCTACAGACGGCCACATCTGTGTTAATCCGCTTTCATCCATCAGGTCAAGGCCACCACTGGCGTATATAAGCATTGGCGTTCTGCCATCACTCGGACTTTGGCTGACGCGAGCAAAGCTCTCTGCACGAGCTCTGGTCGTGTTCTTGCATTAGCGTGGGAAGGTCAGTTCTAGCGTCAACAGGGGATCTGGTACCGTTATCTTAGTGGTTTTCTCTTGGTTACGGGCGAACGTCACAACTTTGGATACTTTTAAAGTGATAGTTTACTTAAAAATTCATTCGGTCAATTTTATGCGGTTGTGAATCTGTTTTATCTAATCTGGAGTTGGGTTTTTGATCAGCATTAGCAGTATTTGAACGTCTTGGGAAATCACTTTGACAAAAATAATTAGTACAATAAAATGCTACTATGTTCGCCATTAGATTCCAATGAAATGCGATGATTTACTTAACTGTATCTACCAGGATGAGAGAGCTATGAACGAATAAATTATTTTATTGGCTAGTTTTATAGCATAGTAATATATACAAACGACATTCACAAATTTACTTTACTCAACCCTTTCTGGTAGAAGTAATTTTCCCTACATCGCGATGTTTAGATGTCTGTTGAAATACTCGGTTGTCTCTGATGTATACCTGAGTGTTTTATCACATGAAAATTTATCGCCCAGCACTGCCTTAATTATTTAAATATTCTTTTTGGAATCGAAACACGTAGGCGCATCAAATCTGATTTTTTGGAGTACGCTGCGCAAAACGCAACCAGTGGCTATTTAATTTGTTTTTGGCACGAATTTCTATTTTTCGAGCCTTACTCATGACATGGCTTAAAAACCATAAAGTTAACCACACAACTGAGAGCCACTTGAAGAGCGAATCCTAATAACCTCATTTTGTCCTTATGCCACGCCTGAGCAATTTTTAACGATTAGAATTGACTGATACAGCTGGTTTTGAACATCGTCGTGGGCTTTTAGAAATTCAAAAGGCCTACCCGCTTTCGTGCAACTCACCTCACCCTAACATATGATCATCAGCATACTGTTTTTTGGAGCATTCAAGGTCTCACTTATTAATGTAAATCAGATTTTTAAATGCTGTAGCACTACGGTCTTTTGCAATAAAACGATCCGTTAAGATGTATCACACCTTATGTTGTTAAAGTGATAGTTAACCATGACGGGTCAATCGCTCCCTTCTATGTTAAGCTTTGGGCGATTTAGTACCACTTTTTAGTGCACAATCACTTTGATTTTAGTGCAATTATTAGTATAAGTGCGTCCAAGTTTGAACAGCTGTCTTACGTCCTTAAATTTCGTCGGTGGTCCTCTGACATTAGACAACGAAACACAAACGTGAGACAGTCTCCTCTAATCATTTATACATGTGTTCTTATACCCTAAACCCCATTTATAGTCATACTATATATAATCAACCTATGAACACGTGGCTCTATAATAGAACTGATAGCCACACTGTCTGCAATGTTGGAAATTAGTGCATGGTGTAACAGTTGATATACCATTCACACCTGTTGCCGTTGTTTTGCTGTTCGCTGTTCCTCACCGAGAGTCCTTTAAAAATTAGTGCATCAATCGGGCATGCCACTATTTCAGATAATGTCATGTCATCCCCCTCACGTGCGGTCAAGGTCGTTTAGTCTATGCATAAAGGGACATGTCAACAGCCCTATGAATTATGTAATAAAAGCCCGCTGCATGTGGTCATGCCTTTGTCACGGCACTGGGGAGGTGAAGCTCGTGTTTGACAAAGGATTTACCTGTTGGTTCTCTGAGAGTGTTCTTGAGTAATAGCAAAACGTGAAAAATTTTGAAATTTAAACTGCATGTAAATTCTAAAATTTTATAAGTGACAAAATTAAAGTTCAGGTCTTTGGTGGATGGTATTGACCCATTCTATCCATTCAACAGAAACATTGTCGCATTAGTGAGCAGTAGCACACACTCACGAAGGATAACCACATTGTGAACCCGCCACTGTTTTTTTCCAGTGAAATGCATTTGATTTAGTATTTTTTACACTGTGGAGGAAAATCACTCTTGAAATGAAACCCCAGACCTATAATATGTCCTCTTAAATCACTGAATCTAAAAATTAATGACAGACCACACTCACGGCGTCAGAAGTGCCAACCGACCTAAAACAAACCCAATTACACTAATTTACGTTTTCAGCGTTAATTATTTCTCGTCAAAACAACTAAGGATGTAATACCACTTACGGAATTGATTTTTCTCAAAATAAAATAATCTGATTACTTCCTACACTTTTCTTCGTCAATTAAATGTGTAACTAACGAGTTACAGATGTCCTGCATAAATTCATGTAGTTTGCATAAGATGAATCTGAGTACCATGGGGAATGTTTGATCTCAAAACAGAAATCATGGCGTCAAAGATATTCCGAACCTAAGCATCTTTAATGTACTTGTCAGGCCAAAGTGCTTAAGTCACCCTCATTTATGGGACAATAAACATGCTTGAAGCCACACAACATTGTTTTCAAACATGCATTATACTAGGATGTATAATAGGTGCAGATATATGTTCAATCAAAATAGTTAAGAAAAGCCTTCAGTGCAAAGAGGGTATAAGGACTAGAAATAAAGCCATCCTTCAATACGCCTTCACCGAAACTGAAAATCGGGGTTTCCGAAAGCATGTAGTCCTTCGCAGCCACATCCTTCAAAAGGCACATCCGTTGGATTTCACACTTTATTGTGCATGATGAAAGTCAAAAATCCAAGAACAAAACCCATTAAATCCAAGGTGCCACAAAGTACACTTGCTTTAATCCCTTACACAACTGAAACAGATGAAAGCCGAGATCAAATTATCAAGTAAATCCA